TACACTGATGCTTAACCTGATATAGATACAAGTCTGACATTTATAGTCAAACTACACTCCAAACCCATACACTGCTAGCTCTCTCTGAATCTCTTTCTTTCTTAGCCTTAAGTACACAACATATAGCAACTACTTCCAGACGTATATACAGGAGGAAAACAACTGGGGCTCTTCCCTCTCTTGCTGTATAGTATGAAGTATACAAATGAAGATATCTAGCAAGGGGTTAGTACAGTGGTTTCTTGTTATTAATTCCATCATTATATTAAAGGAAAAAGAATATATGGAACTAAGGAGACCTAAGAGATTATCACACCTGCTCCCGGACCCGGCTTACCTCTTTCCAATTAGAACCCAATTCAGGCTGGAGCCAGGCTTTCCCTCCCAAAAAGCCATCCAGGGGCATCTCTTCAATGTGAATTGGGAAACGCACTCCAGCAGCCATTTTTCCAAGTCAGAGGTTCCAACTTGGAAAAATGGCCACTGGAGAGCATTTTTGGATGCACATTGGAGCCAAGATCTAATCTAAAGTCGGATTCTGCTGCAAAAGCCATGTAATAGAACACGGCTGCAACATGAATTTGAATTAAATTCATGAGTGGTAAGTAGTATTATTTAAGCCATGTGATAATCTCCCTAGAATGATGGTACAAAACATTGTGAAAAGACTGCACTTTGTGGTCTGCATACTCCTGGGATGGTGTGCTGGGTAACACATGCAAGCAGCAAGGCACATGTGCCTGAATCAAATAGACCTCTTCCACGGTTGTATCTGTGGATAGGGTTACCAGATCTCAGAGCCCTGCCCTGAGTCTCCAATTTCCATGGAGGCATGGGTCCAATGTCTCCAGTTTTAATGGCACAAGGACTGTGTACAAATCTCCAGGCAGGAAAAGTTTCTCAGGCTGACCAGACGTCATAACCACAAAGGAGGACAAGGCACCACAAAATGTAGGACATTAAAGAAAAATATAGACTTTACCAAATAAAAACTAAAAACACTAATATAAATATAAATTTGTGCTTCTTAGTCCTGCTCAAAATGGAGGACATTTTGAAATTCCTCCTGAACAGAAGGTTGATATATATGAAATGTCCTGGAAAAGGAGAACATCTGGTCACTCTGAACTTTCTGCAAGCCATGCATCTGTGCATTTCTTTTCTTTTTCTTTTGTGTTTTTTTCTTTCTTTCTCTCTGGTGTAAAATAAAAGTTCTATGCTCCTCTAGCTGACTTATTGCAATTTGCAAATTTTAACTGATTTTAGTTTCCAAGTGTCAATCTTGATTTCCTTCCATTTGCATGTTATTTTTCTTTCACTATTAAAATGAATGTTCCATATTTTTAATTTCCCTCTGCAATCCCCTCACGGCATCTTGATCTGGGAATAGCCTCTTTAGCTAAGATTTCTGTCTTGATTTCTAAACAAGAAAGTACATTCTCTCTAATTTTTTTATATGTGTGTTTATATGACAAGCTGTGAGCAACTATCATATGTTGACTAATGACATCACCAAGAGCCATCTTCCTCAGGTTTTGGCGTGGAAATGTCGGAGGCTATGATAATTCTGACCCTCACTGTCAATGTGCATACTGGACTAGAGAAGTTGTCATGGCTGTCATGTTACAATTGTGTATGGGTACAGATGACACACCAAATGAAAAAATCTTTAAAAGCTAGATGAAAATTAAGGCCTGGTGATTCATAAGATAAAATTGTGAGGCTTTTGACTTACACTGAGATGGATTCAAGAAGTAGTGCTATGGCATTTTATTTTCTTTGGATTAAAAGGAGGGACTGGAGGTGTACAGTAGCTTTGCAACCAACTTATTTGCAAACAAGTTAGCATAGACCCAGAGGGTTAAGTGGGGTTCAGAAAAGGAAGAGACACCAGGGACCATATTGCAAACCTACAATGGCTAATGGAACATACAAAGAGGGGGGAATCCAGGGGGAAAATCATGATGTGTTCTATAGACTTCAGCAAAGCATTTGACTATATAGATCATGAAAAACTACTGATGGCTACAAAGGTCATGGGAGTGCCACTGCATCTAAGAGTCCTGATGACAAATCTGTATTTAGGACAAGAGAGAAGTGTTAGAACAGAATATGGAGAAACAGAATGGTTCCCAATTGACAAAGGGGTTAAGCAGCGCTGCATCTTATCACTCTTTGTTCAACTTGTATACAGAAAATATCATAAGAATAACAGGTTATACTCAGAAAAAGAAAGAAGGAAGACAGGACAAAGGAACATAAACAATCTTAGATATGCACATTACACCATATTACTAGCGGAAAACATCACAGAATTGGGACAATTACTAAAGAAGGACAAATATTAAAATGCAAAGGAAGGCTTAATGCTGAACATAAAGAAAACAAAAACAGTGACCATGGAAAAAATACATACATTCAACCTGAACAATGAAGAAAGTGAAATAGTTACAGAGCTCCCATACCTAGAATCATACATAGATCAAAATGGGGACTGCAGCCAAGAAATAAAAATAAGACTAGGAATGGGGAGGGCAGCCATGAAACTAGACAAGATCCTAAAGAGCAAAGAACACTAAAGTCACTGT